AGGGAATATTATATTTGCTGACAATCATTAAGGAGCTTTGCTGGGGTTTCACCATGTGTCCCTATGGGAATCTTTCCGAGGATTGGCTTTCCATTCACTCGAAGATCCTCATAACCCACGTGTGCTACTGCCCTTTTGTGTCTTACTTAATTGACGTGGCGTTAGTGACGTCACTGTCTAGCAAACGACGTCTTATTAGACCCATGTGGCGCCTTGTTACATTTGTTACTTCAAAGTTACACGTATAGGTAAGATCTGAAGAACTGAGACCTCGTGGCAATTGAGGGTTTATTGTAGGGTTGGGTGCACATGCACCTCATTGCAGGTTAGACCTAGGTTTGCTTTGGGCTTGCGCTAAGAATAGGTTTCGTGCAATGAATCGTGAGTTCATCACAGACTTGCAATGCACTGTAGGCTCATCGCAGAAGAAAGATTGGTTGCAGGCTGAATGCAGGCGTCCATGTGGTATCAATCCAGTGTTTACTGTGCTCTGAGGGACTGAGCGAGCACTATGCACCTACACCACCTCTCCATACGAGCTCTTCAACTCATCACATGGAGCCCTCCATCTCCCCCTACGAGCTCTTTAGCTCATCACATGGAGCTCTCCAGCTCCCCTTACCAACTCACCAACTCTCCTCACTAAGCACTTCGGCTCACTTTCTCTTCCTTTGGTGTTACTACTTAATCATTGGAGTCCATGCCCCTGGGATGTCACTCGGGGCCTCTAACGTCTCTTTTGGGTGCAAGTCTCCCTTAGCATCCGAGGTGACGAGGTGCTGAAACAAGGTGACCAATTCAATGGTTCCTGGGTCGAACAACTCAATGGTTCAATCGCCCGAGTTAGCATTTTGTTGACCAAAACAATGGTTTTTGGCCAAAGCGGTTTTGGGGTAAGACAGAACCGATCAGGTGACCGATTCTCAACTTTTTTGGTCTGACTATCCGGTTCAGTTCAGTTTTAAAATGATGGTAATTAATTCATGGTAATTAATTAACAATAATTAATTAATTAATGAACGATGAAATCTAAGATTTCCAACTTCTACAAGCATAACTGCTCCAGTCCACCTCAACTCTATTCCTAGATAGTGGAAAGGTGTACGTGATGCCGAAGTTCATTTAATCGGAAGCTCGGGTTCATTGCGCTATGCCAGAGTTAATTCATAACCTTCTTCTAAGGTATAAAGAAAAGTGTAATATTGGGTTTTGAAAAAAAAAATTATAGGTCACATGGGGTCACATATGTACAAATTGTGACGGAACATTAACAGATCTTAATGTTAGGGGTAGAGGTAGTTAGTTGTCAGAAAACTTAGGGGTACTCCAAGACAATAGTTAAACAGTAGGGGTATAGTTAGTCATAGCTAAACAGTACAGGTAGTTTAAGGAAATTGCCCTTTAAAAAGTTGTTACTTAATGAATTAATGAAAATATTAATATTATTTTAATAAATACAATATTTTCATAAACCCTGTTAATTAATAAATAATACTGAAATGATTGAAAATACTGTAAAATATGATTAATTATTAATACTGTAATTATTAAACATACTGTTAATAAAAAATRCATTAATTTTAATAAATAAAGTTAATTAATTAAAACACTGTAATTATTAAAATTACTATATTAATTAAAAATACTATTCATTAATAAATTCAGTATTTCAATAAATATTTTTAATTAGTTAATAATACTGTATTAATTAAAAGTATAGTTAATATTGTAATTATTTAATTATTATTAATTAGTAAATATTGTAATTGTTAATATTGTTTTTTAATAAATTATAACTTACATTATATTAATTAATAAATACATTATTTAATAATGTTTTTAAATAAATACTGATACTTATTAAAAATACTGTTAATTAATAAATACATTATTTTTAATAAATACGGTTAATACTAAAAAAGACTGTTATTATAAATATTATAAATTTTAAGATATAGTAATTATTATTAATACTCCCTCCCTCCCATCTCTCTTCCCCTCTCTCTCTTAAATGTCTTTTTTTAAGTGTAAATGTAATAATAATATACATTAAAATATAAAGTTTTACAAAACCCTAATTATTGTAAAAAGTTGGAGAAAATAGATATAGATTAAAAAGGAATCTTTCCCTTCCCTCTGCCCTACGATCCTCCCCCTCGTACCCAACATCAATCCGAACCGTAAAAATCAAGCAATTACTTTTTCTACAGTTTCCCAAGAGTCTAAACTCAAAGAAGTTTCCGGAATTACTCTCTCTGCAACAGTTACTCCTCCTCTATGAATAAGTATTCATAGTTACTCACTCGAGAGTAAGCAACAGTTGTAGAACATAGAGTGTCTGAAGAATATAATTTTGTAGTGTCTGTGTTTCACAGAGATAGAGATGGAGACGATCGAAGGAGTAATGCAGTCGATTAGAAGCAGTTTTTCTAACAGAATCGATCGCAGGGAGCTGAAGGAGGGTGATCACATATACTGCTGGAGGCCCCAACTTTACATTTACGCCCACCACGGTCCGTCTTATTTGAATTCCATCTTTTTATCTCTCTGTTTATGGTTCTCTTGATTCTTGATTGATGATGTGCATCTGCTTTCCAACCGATGTTCTAGGGATATACATCCGTGACGAACAAGTTATTCACTTCTCACCACCACCACTACCAGCAGGAGCAGCAGGAAGTTTCTCGTATTTCTCCGGCTCCTTCAGCGACGCCTCCAGTGTTGCTCGAATTCCATGCACAAAATGTGACAGCCACAGTCGTGAGGGAGTCACCCAGTGTTGCCTCAATTGCTTTCTTTCCGGCGGTGAACTTTGCCGTTTACAATACAACGTCTCACGACTCTTCTTCTTCTCCAGAGTTCGAACAGGAACATGTAGCCTTGCCAAATCCAGCCCTCCTGCCGTGATTCTTCACCACGCCAAATACCTCCTGGAGTGTAACGGCTTCGGAAGGTACGATTTCCTTCGTAACAACTGCGAGCACTTCGCCATCTACTGCTCGACGGGCCTCATCTCGCAGAAGCCCCGTGAGGTCGGACAGGTCGGGGCTTTGAAGGGCTTCCTCGAGCGGCTCTACGAGAGCGGAAAGCTCAAGGTCTTTTACGGAATTCTGCGGATCCTCTTGGGTTTCCAGAGCGGACTGGCGGAGTCTCTCCTCGCCCTTCTGCAGAGCGTCTTCGGCAGCAAAATGGAGGAGAAAGTCATGGAGCTTGCTCGGGGATTGTTTGGCGAGAGTGGACTGGCAGTGGCAGATGCCGTCGGCGAGGAACTTCTCGAGTTCTGTAGAGGGAAGATGCGCATCTCTCCTGCTGCCGCCGTTTCTTCTGCTCTGCTTACAAGCATTAACATCTACGCCGGGCTTTTTGTACTGTATTATTTCTACAGCGCCGCTCGCTACCAATCTGATATCGGAATACGTAGTGACGTTCGTTCGGTTGACGTCGAAAGACTTGTTACTGAGTTGAACGTGGTCGAGCCAGAATCAGTTGCTGAGTCCAGTGCGGCGGGGTCAGGGTGCTGAGATGGAGGTGGGTGAACGAGAACCAGTGTTGCTGCGTCGAAGGAAGCTGGGCCTGAGCTGGTTGCTGACCAAAGGTGGTTGAGACAGAAATTGTTGAGCGTTGAAGGTGTTCGATCCGTAACCTGGTTGCGAGGCAACCAAGGATTCTGTTATGGTGTAACTGAGTACTGTTCTTTTGTTGTCGTCCGGTGTTCTACCCAGTTGCTAAGCCCTGTTGCCGATTGAAAGAGTGCTATTAGGATCAAGAGCACTTTGATTTTCAAACACAGAGGAGGTGTTCCTTGTTTTCCAGATAAGAAAAGCAGAATGACTTAACAGTTTTTATTTTCCAGATTGTCTTCCAAACTCATCAGTATTATTTTATAGAAATAAAGATGATAAAAATGTGTTTGTGTCCAAAATACTTGCCTTATATTCCCCAATTCTCCGTGATGTGTTAGTTGACTCGGCTGATTACTCAAGTCGGCCACTCGGACCGAGTCTTAGCGTTGTGGACAAAGTGGTAATTTTGGAAGGGTCGAGTCACTTGGGCAAGCCACCTATCGAGGGGATGGCTCGTTAGTACTCAAGGCTTTTAGCTGATTATTAGTGGTACGTGGCACCAAATACTATAAAAAAAATCACTCGGACACGTCAATGGGTCTGTGGGTTTTTTGTTTGATAAAAAATAGCAAAAGTATTTGTGTGTGGGGCCAAATTTTGCGACATTTTCTTTTTCTTTTTCTTTTTTTTTTTTTGGGTGCAGAAGTAAGTAACGGAACAACATTTTCTTCTTTGGTTTAGGGTTTAATGGATCAGGAATTCAGGATAAGGATGCATGTCTTGCCAGGTGAGGTCGGATTCAGGTCAACTCAAACCCAACCCTAAAACTCTTTTAGATTGGGTTCAAGTTGGACTCGAATTGGGTTTAGGTTGGTCCAAGCGATAAGGAGTGCTCTTCAATCCCCACTAATGGAAATTTCCCAATCCATATCTCCACAGGGAGAGATTATCTCTATCCCTGCCTAGGGGAAATTTGGATGGATATAACCCGAATCCAAATCAATCTAACTTGTAATTTTTTATGGATTGGAGTTGGATTTTTAATCTTTGGGCTCGGGCCTAAAAAGTTAATGTGGGTTGGTTTTTATCTTTATTTTAAGAGATGTGGATTGATCGACCAACCCAAACCCTAAGTGCATCAAATTTTAGGAATGGGCCTAGGTTGTATTAAACCCACCCAACTTGCACCTTTATCCCTGCCCCGTGGCCTATTCCTGTATAGGGGTGGCAATTGGGCGAGTTGAGTTGGATTCGGTTTGGGTTGAGATTCAACCTAACCCATTAATGACCCTATTAGATAGAATTAAATGGGTTGGGTTCAACCTAAACCCACCTTGACCCAACCCTACCCATTTAGATAAAATAATGAAAATTACACAAAAATAATAGAAATTGCAAGAAATAGATTAGAAATTAAACAAAAACGCATAAAATTAATAGAACTTACATAAAAATTTGAGAAAACAGAAATTGCAACTTTCATTTTATTCTTTCTATACATGTGAAAAAAACAGTATTACTGTGAAAATTACAATAGTTCTGGGGTGTATTCCTGAATTGCCCTTTGGAGCTTGGATTCAAATGGGATTTCATATCCATTGTAAAGTTGAACAAGTTTCTTTTCTTTTTTATTGAAGCTAACTTTGAGTTCTCCCTCTGGCCTAATAATGGATTTCCCTGACATGATTTATTGGCTGAAAGAGAATTGGGCTGTAAAATGAATCCTCACTATTAGTCATACATGGCTTCAAACTAAAATGCACAATTAGAAACTTCAAATAAAAGAGGTACAAAACAGGTAGCACCCTTGCTGCCTTGTCTGATATCATAGTCATAATCCAAAAGAACCATAAACAATATGTACTTTTTCTAAAGAATTTACAATCAAACAAACAAAATTGATTTTGAATCAAAACATGGAGAGCAACATGTTTGAATCCTCAAAGAATTTAAACTAAGCTAATTAACTTTGGTAACTATGGGTTAGCTCTGATACTAACTATTAATAGTTATTGAAATTTCTCACGACCCAAAAGTGTTGTTATTAGCCCCAAGACACAAATATGTATATTGATTTTTTTTCTTTTGATAGGAAACGGTACAAATATGCAAATTGATTAAGAAAAGCAATTACCTTTTGCCATGAGTTCACTGTATGAAGATCCAACCCCTCCGTTTTCTGAAAAGCAATAATCTTGATCTTCTATCCTTTCCCAACCAATGCCAATGGATTACTTACATATTTGTTTGATTGACCAGGATGGGAATCAAAACTCAATATCCAAGCTATGAGAAGTTTCTAACCCATCATGGAGACAAATATAAGGCCATATCTAGCTCTACTAAGTTAATCAACTTAAGATTGTTAAGAAAGCTGTAACAAATCCAGAGTTCCTATTATTTTAACCTCCAAACATCTTTATAACAGATTGTGGAGCAAGATTAAATTCATCCAATAGAACCCAACTTCCATTCTTCAGAATCTGTAGAGCGATTAACCAAAAAGGATATCCATAGAGTGAAATTCCATAAAAAGATAAAGCTACTAATGTCAAACAAGTTAGACACTTCAACCTTGTTGATTGTGCGCAATCTAGATGCTCCTAGCTAGAGGGAAGCCCGGTCATTGGTTGCTTAGTTGCCTGGTCAAACTGCAAGGAAACATAGCTCAGAGGACTCAGGGTGACTTACTCAATGTGGGCACTCGATGCTTAAGTTAGTACTCTTGGTGTGCGAGCTGAAAGTCTGATAGCAAGTAGGCTAGTGAGCAACAAATCATGCTTACCTTGCAACATTGGGGTTGATGCCCTTAAATAGGTGAGCTGTTGTAGGTCTCACGAAACACCCCCGAGATCTTTGGACCACGTTGTTAGGAGTCCGTTCCGCACCAGGAGGTTTGTGCTTGCCAATAAGACTTATCGAGTCCGTCCAATCCGAGAGGGATAAGGATAAGACCTACAGTTGTGTTGTGTGATCCCAAAGAGCTCGGAGACAGCTGGTTCGCTTCTAGAAAATGGCTACGCGTCACATTGGTAGGTCGGGTTGTCACGAGCTGCTCAAACCTCGGTCCTAGCCGAGGTGCCCAAGGTACCCGAGGTGACTTGACCTGTTGAGGTAGCAGGAAGTGTTGAGTCAACATTCAATCAACAGGTTGCTTGCACGTGTCCGTATATGAGTCGGTCGGGCCAAATCACCCCTCATCACTTATAATAATGAATTAACTAGAATGACACCTATTATAACATGAGTATAAATAGCCTTGTAATAATGAATTTCCAAAAACAAAAGGTTGCTCTGACCATTATTTATGGTATCAGTGTAAAATTCAAAATTTGGAACAGTCTGAAGTGGGAAAAAAATGTTAATAGTCAACAAGAGTACATGACACCTATTATAACAACATCAGTTTCTTTTTTGTTTAACCATCTAACAAATTAACTTTAAAAATAGAATCTTAGAGGCACCTTTTTTTAAACTTTGTTTAATTAACTTTAACCATCTAACAAGTTATCTTTAACAAATTCAGCTGGTTTAGATCACTCAGACACTAATCATGGACATTCCAGGAATAGCATGTCAGTTAAACATATTCCAACCATTTGATGATTCAATCCAAGATTTAATATTTCATTGTACTACATTTTAGCATAGGTAGGAACCATAATTTTGACTAAAATTTCACTGACTTTTCAAGATTCCATTCAGAAACTCTTTATGAGTAAGGAACTCTTTATCCTTACTTGTTTTGTCTAAAATCTATCATATATAAGAGGAAGAGAAATTCTGTCTGACTCTATCTTCCATCTTATCCACTTCTCCTATTTCTTCTCAATGTATTTGTATTTTTCATCACAAACTTCTCCACATTTCTCCTCTCATAGGATGATATCCCACTTATCCACAAAACCAAGAAAAAAAAATCTCTAAAAACAGAGAAGCTTTGAATGGATTTTATACTACAGTTAAAAGGTGGTTTGATTAAATGATTTCAGTTGAGTCCTTATAATTCTTTTTCACCATGCCTTTTAATATAAACAAGTATGCACAAATTTTTCTTTCATCATTTAAGTGAGCATAATATCAAATTTTCACAATCATATAATCAATCATCTACAAGCATAGAAAATGCAATTAACAAAACCAATTGATTGTTAGGTCTCATCCATTGCATTTATAACATATTTTTCTATATGTAGACTGTTGCGTAAGTCTATCACATAGGTACTTCTGTTGTACCTCTTCCCAAGAACTGCCTCGTGCAGCTGGACTGAATCCACAGAATATAAAGTTGCCATAACTAGGCTATGGTCAAGAATATTATTCCCCAACTCTTGCAATGCAACAAAAAATTTGCAATAACATGCTCAAAAAGTTAAATAAATGTGCTATGATGCCATGTATCTCAAATTAAAAACATCAACTTCAAAACCATTTTTTAAATCCTAACAATAAGGAACCCAAAAATGTTATAGAGCAGCAGACAAGGCTAAAGATACAGAGAAAGAGATAGAAAGAGAGTTTGAGTACGTGAAGTACCTCAGATGGAAGCTTGAATCGTCGTATTGATCTCTACTAAACCCTAGAGTTCGTTATTCCCTCTTCGTTCTCTAGTAGCTTGAATCGCTGCAAAGAGAGTTTGAGTACCTGAGGTGGCAGCATGAATCACCGTAATGATCTCTGCTAAACCCTAGAGTTTATTCTTCCCTCTTCGTTCTCCGGCAACCTGAACTGCCGTATTCATCTCTGCTAAACCCTAGAGTTCGTTCTTCCCTCTTCATTCTCTGGCAGCCTAACTCGTCGTATTCATCTCTGCTAAACCCTAAAGTTCATTCTTCCCTCTTTGTTCTCTGGTAGCCTGAATCGCCTATTGATCTTTGCTAAAACCTAGAGTTCCTTCTTCCCTCTTTGTTCTCTGGCAGCCTAAACTATTGTATTGATCGAGTGATCTCWGCTAAACCCTAGAGTTTATTCCTTCCTCTTCTAGTTCTCCACTTCTCTGTATTGATTGAGTATTGACTGATCTCTACTCCTTGATGGGTTCGATGGTTAACCATTACCCAACCTACCCAATCTGTTAAAGCCCATGCTTATTGGATTAACCGACCCGAAACTAAATAAATGAGTTCGACTGGGTTGGGCGGGTTCAGCGGGTTGGGTAAAAATAAGACCAAGCCCGGGAGGAGAAAAGAAATAAAGAAAAAGAAGAAAAGCAAAAAACTTAATTATCTTACTAAATTGGCATGGAACATTTTCTATTGAGAAAAATAAGAGCAAGACCGTCTACTATTAATGTTTGGAAGCTTTCCTTATTGTTATAAAGTCCAACATTTTCTATTGGGAAGGTTACCCACAAAGAAATATTTAAATGATCGTCATATATATTCGCCCAGACCCTATATGAGAAATATGTCAGGAAGACCAACATTTTCTATTGGCAATTTACTATAAATATTTATTTCTTTTCATTTAATCAATATATTGGTTATTAATTAACCGAAATTTTCTACCCAATTCACTTGATTGATTATTAATTGACCAAAAATTACTACTTATATCATTTTACTAATCGACTGATTACTATTTATATTTATTACTAATTAACAGAGAATTCCTAATTAACCGAAATGTATTCTTACAAAACTAACTAAAGAATTAGTTTAAAACTATTTATTAAAAGTTTTGGTAGTTTTGGAAAATTACTAATTTAATAGAAATTAATTATTTAAATTTGGTGAATTAATTATATAAATTAATTTACCAAAAGATGAAAATTTATTCTGGTAATTATAGAAATTTAATTCTTGTAAATTATTTTTGGTTAATTTTGTAGTTAATTTTGATAAATTAATTGGAAATTTTTCTTATTAACTATGCTATTTTTTTTTGTAATTTTCTTACATTAATATACCAAGAATTAAATTAACAAAATTTGGTAATTTACCAAAAAATAATTTCAACAAATTAATATTAGTTAATTTTTATAAGTTAATAATTTATCAAAAAATACTTTCCATAGTTTATCAAAAACTAATTTTGTGAATATTAGAAATTTAATTTTGTTAATTTCTGTAGTTAGTTTTGTTTAATTTATTTTTAGTAGCTTTCATAATTAATTTTGATAAATTTCCTGATTAGTTTTGGTGAATTAATCAAATTTTGGTAATTTACCAAAAACTAATTTTAATAAATTACTTTTTCTTAATTACATTAAATCAATAATTTATCCAAAAGTATTAATTAAATTTCGTAATTATGAAACAATAAAATTATTGGTAAATTTTCAAAACTAATTTTTTTWAAATTAATTTTGATAAATTAAATTTTTGAATKCTTATGAATATAATAAAGTTTTGGTATAATAACAAAAATTAATTGTGCTTAATTTTATAAAATTAACAATATACCAAAAGTTATTATTTTTCCTAATTTATGAAACAATAAATTTGGTAAATTTGAAAAATTATTATTTTATTAATTTTGAAAAAAAGTAATATAATACAATTTTGATAATTTAACAAAAAAATAATTTTAGAGTATTAATATTTGTTAATTTAGAGAAATTAATTTTGAGAATTTTGGTATTTGTGGTAAGATATTTTTGGTTAATTTCATAATTTATTTAGATATATCATTTGTGGTAAATTTGGTAATTAAACTTTTGTAAATTAGTTTTGGTGATTTTATAAAATTATAAAATTTTTGTAATTTATCAAAAATTAATTTAAGTAAATTAATATTGGTTAATACTGATAAATTAATAATTTAACAGTAGATTAATAATTTACCAAAAATTATTAATTTTGTCAATTATAAAACTATGATTTATGTAAGTTTTGAAAATTATTAATTTAATAAAATTAATAATTTTTGTAACATTTGCAAACATCAAGCATTTGTTAGTATAATTATTAATTATAGTAACAAAATATTATTTTCTGTTGATGCATCAAACTTTGGCAAATAACAAAATCTCTTTTACTTTGATTTTATCGCATGGGCCTCCGCTAGTTCGCAGAATTTTTAATTGCAAGAGATCCCAGCTAATTAAACTTTATAGCGTCGAGGACATACATTTTGCATAGAATTTGATATTTATTAAATGCAATTTCTATGGTACATAAATATACATTATTTCTTTTCTTGTATCATTACACTATGTTTTGTAAACAGGTATTGTATTAGTGGTGCTCAGTTTGGATTGAGAGAGTTCTACTTGTATTCTAACAAAGCAAATCAAATGAAATTATATTATAACCAAACAGTTTTATTAGGGAGAGCTAATGAAATTCCAGGAAAAAAAGTCAACTAAAAATATCTGCAAATTAAGAATGAAACCTTCCTCTGCCCTACGATCCTCTCCCTCTCACAGAACATCAATATGAACGTAAAGTGTTATCAATAAGGTTTGTTCATAGGTCGGGTTGGGTTGGTTTAATAGATTTTTTTAATCGATCAAACTTGGTTGAGTTACTTAAAGAATAAATTGAAACCGATTTGCTATTAAGCAAAACCAATCGAAACATGAAGAGGTCGGTTTGGTATTATTTATAAATAGCCTTATATTTGATATAAAATTTCCTACTCAAAAAGAGAAAACAATCCTAAAAACAAAAGTAATTCCTATTTAACATTGAAAGACTAAGAAATCATAAACTAACTCAATTCAGTTTCAGTTTTCACACATGAGAATTAAAACCGAACCAAACTATCGGTTTATCCCTCTTCACAACCCGAAATCGATCAATGGTGAAAAAAACCCGACCAAATTGGATTGGATCGGGCTGGTTTGATCGGCTTGACATTATTTGTGAACAGCCCCAGTTATCAAACTCGAGCTTAGATTTTGTATTTCTATTTTTATTATTTCCTCTATCCTTATTATAAAGCAACCCATCATGTTGTGAGACTTGACAAATTCTCTGTATATAGCCAGATGTCACACTATGATGATATAAAATCATTCAGATATGTTAGACGGGGTGATTCTGGACGTTGGATCGGTATCATCAGATAAGACCAGTGCCTATAAAAAGTGGGGTGTAGGTGTTATTTTCTTAAATGATAATCATAATTTTGTTTACTAATTCCGTTAGTCTTATTATTGCTATAAGTAGTTCTGAAAAAGGGTATTAACCTTTTAACCTTTTGTAATATAAGTAGTAAATTATCAAAATGCCCATTATCTACCAATTTATTTAACACCAATGCCACAGTTTTGATAAAAAAAAAATAAACAAAATTAGAAAGACAATTTAGGAAGGCCTAATGATTGTATTGAGATAAAAACGTAGCTCCAAACTCTCAATTTTGGAGTTGAGGGTGCATTTATTATTTGTTTGATTTTTTTTAATTTTCATTAGGGTCAATTTGGAAGGAGCATAAATACAAATGCGTAGAGTATAAAACTATGTATTTTGTATTTATACCGTATAGATTCGTATTTATACCGCATAAATTAGTTTGGAAGAGTACAAATACAAATATGGACAGTATAAATACATACAAAATAATATAAAATATAAGATTTTGTACTCTACAAATTTGTATTTGTACTCCTTCCAAACTGAGACTTAATTCCGTTTCTCACACTACTGGTTATAGAAATAGGGACACAAAGAAAGAGAGACAAGATTTATCATTATTTATTGCTAGAAAGGGGGGTAGAACTGGTTATGCTCAGTTTATTCAACACTCAGAAAGAAGATGAAGGTTAATGCACAGACAGTTGTTCTGCTTCAACGCATAGTTTATTCAAATCTGAGAATGGAAATGGGAAAGAAGGGTAATTTTGGAATTTTAAAAGTTCACGGTACTTAAATTGTTGCATTTGAAAGTTCAAGACTTTAATGTCACTACCCCCAAATTTCAAGTCATTAGAAGCCTGTGTATGCCATTGATTCCCCGTAATAGAGGTGTAAATTGGTCGTGCCACCTGCAGCCCGGCACGACAGTCTACGGGCCATGTCAGGCCCGGCATGATGGTTCATGCCTTGTTGGGCCGGGGGTTCATAATCCACGGACCGGCATGGCATGACACAACTATGTGTGTCGTGTCGCACGCGGCCCACATGCCGGCATGGCCCGTAGGGCCTATAGTGGGCCGCACTAGGCCCATCCGAAAACTAGTCGTTTGGCCCGATGGCTCCCTCCCCCCAATGGCTATATAAGGGGGCATTTATGTATTTTACTTATGAAGGGGAAAAATGACATAAATGCCCCCCAATGGCTATATAACAACTAGTTTAGGTGGTTTTTTGGGTAAAGTTATAAATAACTCTATAATGATCAAAACACCCCTCCCAACAACTAAAAACATTTATTTTTTAGGGTATTTTGGGCAATTGAATTATTTTCAATTCCTATAAATAGCCCAATCTTCCACCATTCTCATCACACCAATTCAACAATTGTCTTAATCTCTTCTCTCTTTCTCATACATTCTCTCATCTACTATCTGAGTAATTCTGGTTGGTTGATTGTCCGATTCTCCAATTCTCAAGTCTCAACTTTGTTGAAGTTTCAACAAGAAAAAGGCTTGCTGCCTTACTCAACTTGCTCAAGTATCTCAAGTTAGCAATTTGGGAAGCTTGAACGTTGAAATGCTTTAACCATTGAAATCAAGTTGGCAATTTGGGATTCTAAACCAGCAATCCGAGTAAGTCCAATTAAATTAATTTTATTTTTTTTTAGAATTAAAAAAAAATGATCAGTTCTCCCAAAACCAATTCCCTAAGTTTAGTAGCCTGATTTGGAAAATATTTAAAATAGAGGATGTTGAGGGGAAGGGGAAAAGAGTAGTTTGCCAAAAATGTAGAAAAGACTTTAGTTGTTGTAGCAAGGGTGGTACTGGCCATTTGAGCAGACATTTTCTCACACATAAGAAGGAAGAAGAAATAACCCACAATTTAAATGAATTGTTGAAATAATGAAAAATAAATTTTAAAAATATTGGGAGAACATTTCTCCCCTTTATTGCTTAGCTACAATATTAGATCCTAAGATTAAGAAAGATGGTTTTGATATTTTACTTGAAACATATTGTGAAAATATGAATATTGAAATTGGAAATGAAAAGAATAAATTAATAATTTATTATTTGAAATGTACAATTTATATGAATCTGATTATCTGAAGCAGTAGAAAGTAATCCTACAACTTGTACAACATCTAACATCTTCAGATTTTCTACTTCTACTTCTACAACAAGTTCATTTACTGAACTTAATTTATTTCTAGTTTAGGTGAGGGAACAAATAATTTTGATATTTTAGCCTGATGGAATGAACATTCAAAAAATTATCCAATTCTCGCTGCCATGGCACATGATCCACTAACCCCTCCGATGTTTACAATTCCATCGGAGTCTTGTTTTAGTGCAGGTACCACTATATTAGGGTGTTGGTCTGTTGGACAACAAGAGAAATGGCATGAACGATGAAAGTATAGAGGTATGCATCTACTTTAAGGAGTGTCTAGATGTAGTCATGCAGAAGATAGATTACAACTTTACTAAACAAAGGAGGGCATGATACTACTACATACACCGGATATCTCACCTAAGGTAGATGATGAAAATCATGATTCATGAAATTTTGTATAGAATTTTTTATTTTTGTTCAAATTATTGTAAACTTTGTTTTGATTTTATTTAATTTATTTTCTATTAATGTAATTTTGTATTTTCAATTTGTAACTATATTATATTTTTATATTTATTAAGCTATTCCATTTTCATATTTCATTCATCCAAGTATGAAATATCCAACCATTGTATGCTTTGTAATTTGTATCATTCAAATTTAAATGAAATAAAATTCCTATTTTTCTTCCAATTTGTTATTCCATCATTATTGATTCTTATTTGGTTAAGTATTTTTTTTTCACTTATGTGTTAGATTTCTCATTTCTTAATTTTTCAAATAGTTCTCAAAGGCCAAAACTCAAAGAAAAGTTAAATATTTTAGCTTTGACTTAGAAAATAAATAAAAAATTTCAAAAAAAAAAAGTCAAAAAATCAATCTAACCCAATTAGACTCAACCCAAGGCCCAGCCTGTGGCCCAGCCCGGCACGGCCCAAGACCATGGTCCGGCCCAAGCCCACGGCATGGCATGGGCCCATACGAGCCTGGGCCTTAGGCCATACCGAACTAACCCCCAAAATTTTCACTCGTGACGGCCGCGAGCCAAAACGGCACAGCCCACACTTTGCATGGGCCGCTCGCAGACCCGACACGGCAAGAAAAAATTTCACACAATCTTAAAGCATGGGAACATCTCCCCATGATTAACTATATACATGTATGTGGAATATTCCCAATACTCCAAATGTGTGACTAGATGCTATGTGCGTAGAGTTTTGGTTGCACGCGATCCAAGATGATCTTTATTTAGAATTTGGTTTTTATTAAATGCAAATTCTATGGTACATAAATACATAATTTCTTGTATTTCTTCCTCTAAATACATTATTTATTATATCATTACACTGTTTTGTAAACATGTATCGTATTAGTGGTGCTCAGTTTGGATTGAGAGAGGATCTGCTTTGTATTCTAACAAACCAAATCAAATGAAATTATCAGGGTGTTTGGTATGAGTTGTATAAACGGTGTCATCTGTCATGTCATTGCCGTACGTGCATTTGTCCTATTATACTATTTCGTGTACCTATTTATCTTAATTTATATACAAACAACTATTAAAGAAAATTTTATTTTAATGGTTTTCTCGACACAAAAACATTTATTTATTGTTTCACTTATATGGTGCCTAATAATGTTTAATTGTCAACATATATCATAAAAACATTTATAAACTGCTTTTTCTTAGTTTCAAAAACAAATCATATATTTTCCAGGAAAGTGGGCAAAGCAATCTGTGGACTAAAAATATCTGCAAATTAAAAAGTAATTCTTCCCTTTCCTCTGCCCTTCTACGATCCTCCCCCTCCTGCCCAACATCAACCCCAAGCACTTTTTCTAGAGTTTTCCAAGAGTCTAAAGTCAAAGAAGTTTCCGGAATTATTCTTTCCCTCTCTCTCTCTCTGCAACAGTTACTCCTCCAGGAATAAATATTCATAGTTACTCGAGAGTACGCAACAGTTGGTAGAACATAAGAGTGTCTGAAGAATATAATTTTGTAGTGTCTTGTCTCAGAGAGAGAGATGGAGAAGATCAAAGGAGTAATTCAGTCGATTAAAGGCCGGTTTTTGAACAGAATCGATCGCAGGGAGCTGAAGGAGGGTGATCACATCTACTGCTGGAGACCTCAATTTTACGTTTACGCCCACCACGGTCCGTCTTATTTGAATTCCATCTTTTTATCTCTCTGTTTATGGTTCTCTTGAATGATGATGCGCATCTGCTTTCCAACCAATGTTCTAGGGATATACATCGGTGACGAACAAGTTATTCACTTCTCACCACCACCACCACTACCAGGAAGTTTCTCGTATTTCTCCGGCTCCTTCAGCGACGCCTCCAGTGTCGCTCGAATTCCATGCACAAAATGTGACAGCCACAGTCGTGAGGGAGTCACCCAGTGTTGCCTCGATTGCTTTCTTTCCGGCGGTGAACTTTGCCGCTTACAATACAACGTCTCACGACTCTTCTTCTTCTCCAGAGTTCGAGCAGGAACATGTAGCCTTGCCAAATCCAGCCCTCCTGCCGTGATTCTTCACCGCGCCAAATACCTCCTGGAGTGTAACGGCTTCGGAAGGTACGATTTCCTTCGTAACAACTGCGAGCACTTCGCCATCTACTGCTCGACGTGCCTCATCTCGCAGAAGCCCCTTGAGGTCGGACAGGTCGGGGCTTTGAAGGGCTTCCTCGAGCGGCTCTACAAGAGCAGAAAGCTCAAGGTCAACGGAATTCTGCGGAACCTCTTGGGTTTCCAGAGCGGACTGGCGGAGTCTCTCCTCGCCTTTCTCCAGAGCGTCTTCGGCAGCAAAATTGAGGAGACAGTCATGGAGCTTGCTCGGGGATTGTTTGGCGAGAGTGGACTGGCAGATGCCGTCGGCAAGGAGATTCTCGAGTTCTGTAGCGGGAAGATGCGCGTCTCTCCTTCTGCCGCCGATGCTTCTGCTCTGCTTACAAACATCTACGCCGAGCTTTTTATACTGTATTATTTCTACAGCGTCGCTCGCTACCAATCTGATATCGGAATACGTTGTGACGTTCGTTCGATTGACGTCGAAAGACTTGTTGCTGAGTTGAACGTGGCCGAGCCAGAATTAGTTGCTGAGTCCGGTGTGGCGGGGTCAGGGTCTGAGCCGCTTGCTGAGCTGGAAGTGGGTGAACCAGAACCAGTTGCTGCATCGAAGGAAGCTGGGGCTGAGTTCGTTGCTGACCCAAAGATGGTTAAACCAGAGTCGGATATGGTTGATCCAGAAATTGTTGAGGATTGAAGATGTTCGATCCGTAATTGAGTCAGTGTGCTTTTATTGTCGTCCGGTGTTATGGGTTATTTCTTGTCATCGTTAAACACCCAGGATTCTGATTTGACTCAACTCGGTGTGGGAGGAATTGGGAACTCGGTGTTTGTCCAGTAGGCTAGGAAGGACCACTTCGATGTCTTTCAAACTCAGTATTATAGAAATATTATATAAATAAAGATGATAAAAATATGTTTGTGTTCAAAATTCTTATTTCCTGCTTTATATTTCTCAATTCTCCCCATTAACTGGTGTGTTAGTTGACTCGCCAGATTACTCAAGTTGGTCACTCGGACCGAGTCTTAACGTTGTGGACAAAGTGGTAATTTTGCAAGGACCGAATCACTTGGACAAGTCACCAATCGAATTGTGGCTCGATGAGGTTGATTCCCACAATCAATATCAGAAAAAAAAAGAGTCACTCGGACAAGTCAATGTAGTCAGTGTGGGCCTGTAGCTTCTTTGTTTGATAGAAAATAACAAAGGTACTTGCGTGTGGGGCCAAATTTTGCGACATTTTCTTCTTTGGTTTATGGTTTAATGGATCAGAAATTCAGGATGAGGATGCAAGTCTGGCCGGGTGTGGTCGGGTTCAGGTCAACCCAAACCCAACCCTAAAACTCGTTTTGGTTGGATTTAAATTGAACTCGAGTTGGGTTTGGGTTTAGATTGATCCAAAGATAAGGAGTGCTCTTCCATCCCACCAACGTAATGGAAATTTCCTGATCTGGAGACGGGAAATTATCTCTATCCCTGCCTAGGGGCAATTTGGATGGACCCAAATCAATCTAACTTGCAATTTTATATGGATTGGGTTTAGAATTTTAATCCATGGACTGAACCCAGGCCTAAAAGTTCAGATTTTACAGTTTTTAAGGCTGAGTTTGATAGGTTTTATCTTATTACTTTTTAATAATTTATACATAAAAGCACATATATATAAAGTTGTAATTTTGGAAGAACCGAGTCATTTTGGACAAATCAATGGAGTCAATGTGTTGTGTGGTGTCAAGAGAGCCCGACACGGCAACACCTTGGCGTGTGAGGCCAAATTTTTTTGACTATATGGCTTGATAAGAATCATGGAATCCATTAAAAATACAGAGAAATACGGATACACTCAAAGTAGAATTCTGAATTGCAGCTCCCCTTCTTACTATTAGCCCTTTCTCCCCTATAAACCACATCCTGTCCATGAATTTGGCATCAATTCACAGTCAGGATGCATACTAATAGGGGCTATAAAATTCTGATATGGGCTGATTGGTCATTCTAAGCCCAAAGCTAGGAGGAGAAAAGAAATAAGGAAGAAAGATAAAAGAAAAAGCTAAGTAGTTTTCTTTCTTTATCACGAAAAAGCATGTAACTGCCTTGACTGGATTGTAATAATTGAAGTTTTGAATAAATGGTCTTACAATCGTCCTAATTAGGATACATTTGGCATTCTTTATTTTAAGGATTTATCCCCTATAGTTAAAATCTCAGTATTTATAAGGACATTTGAACCGAAAAAAGAGACAAGTCCTTAAAATAAATAATGACAAATGTAGCCTTAAATTAATCTCAAGCTTGTTTACTTTCAAAAGCTGTTTTGCAAGAGTCCGAACATTACTTAGAAGCTTTCCATTGTTTTTTTTTTTTTTTTTTGGGTAAGACTTAAATCTCCCCTATAGTAAGACCTCTTTCTCTTTAAAGAAGGATTCTATCCAACAGTAGGATTCTATCGGAAAGAGTTTCGAATAAATTTTCTAGCGTCCCCTAGACTTAAGGAAGCAATCGAGATTCAATTCAGTGTTGACGAGGTGATATAGAAGCCTTTATCTACTTCTCCCTCTCTCTCTCTCTCTCTGGGCTAGTTCTGGAGCTAAACTCTCTATTTTGAATTAGGAGTCTCCTCAGTTGGAGCATCCCACTGAGTATACCACTCTTATGTTTTTTCTATTGAGCATTCCCATGCCACAGATTTTTCTAGAGTGTTTCTTCTTGCAGAGGAGGGTCATCTGTTTGACCACTTATGTGATATTCTTTCCTTGATTGTTGAAGGGACTATGAAGTATGAAGGGTATTAGGGTTTTTCGAAAAGGTTCAATTACATATATCGTCAGATGCAAACGGATGTAGGGAATGTTTCTGTTTGATGATGTCATTCTACAAGGGATGTCTTTGTCCTTTTTGTAAAGATAGGAGAGGTCTTAGTAAATATTAGGGAAGGTTTATATCTTTTACCCTTTTTTTCCGATATGAAGTGCTACACAACAGGGGTAGCCCATCCCCCATCCCATAACCCCCCAACCCAGGTATAGGCCGGATTCAATCCCAAATCTCCACTACAATCAGCATGAGACCTTACCAACCAGCTGATTGGCACCTTGCAAATTTTAAACATTGTTATGGGTGACAAATGGGTGGGTTGGGTGTGGTTGAGTATCAACCCACCCATTTTGACCCACTGACCCATTTGCCACCCATGTTAGTGGGTTGGAATGAGTCACAACTCACTTTGACCCTAACCCACCCCAATGGCCCAACCCACCCATTTGACCCTCTAATACAAGTTGGACCCTTTAAAACATAAAATGTTTAAAATTTTTAAATAAAAAATAAAAATGCATAAAACACAAAAAGGTAAAGAAAACATAGAAAATTTCAGAAAAATACAAGAAATTGCAGAAAAGAAAAAGAAATAATAAAAAATTGAATAAAATTATAAAATCTAAACTCTCAAAAATATTAAAATTTTTAGAAAAAATACAGAAAATGTGCAAGAAATTGTAGTAAATTTCAGAAAAGTGCAAAAAAGTTGCACAAAAAAATAAAAAAATAAAAAAATGTAGGCAAATAGAAATTGCATAAAAAACAAGAAAAAATAGAAAAGAAAAAAATTGCAAATAAATACAAGAAAGTGTAAAATTGCTGAGAAAAAAAAACAAAAAGTAGAAAAATGTAAGAAAATTACAAAAAGGGCAAATTTCTTAAAGTACCTTTATGGTTTAGGAAATTGACTAACTCTACCCTTACTGTTTATATAGTCTTAAAGTACCCCTAAATTTTTTGACAATTACCATCTCATTAATTATTGATGAAAAAGCAAAATGTCAAATTTACCCTCCATTATTTCTCAAATTTCAAAATAAACCTTGATGACATTTTCACCTCTCGCGGCCCTCTTGCAATCTCTCGGACTTATTTTTTTGCTTCTTCTCCTTCCTGGCCTGTATTTGGAGTTTTGGATTTGGGATTCAAACAAGGATTCATAGCAATAGTTGTGCAAGCACAATACCTTGCAAATGCTTTCAAGAATAAGAACAATCTCATCCAAGAGTTTCAGCTTGTAGCTTGCAACCACAATCACAACTAATACGACCAAAAATCGACCACCAGTTAGAAACCACCAAGTGGCAACATGCTGGGGGACAAAGTTGTCAATTGACGAGCTAACTTGGTCTTGATGAACTATGAGCTAACCTGGTCCTAACGAGTTACAAATTAACCTGGTCCTGACGAGCTACGAGCTACGAGCTAACCTGGTCCTAATAAGCTGATCTGACACCAACTCATAACATTCACAAGCAATGCGTGGCTAAGTTGATCAGAGCATCAATGCAAGTAAACTCCATGTAGGCCCACTGTCTACCACATGCACATGTGTCAACTGAAAGCGCAACAAGTGGACTGGGCTCCAACCGCATGTGAGAGACATGTTGGTTCTTGGATGAAGCCCCTCCTATAAATAGGTGAGTCCCGCATTCATTTGGACACAACTGAACATGGTAGTATGCTACTATGAACAAGGCACACCGAACACTTAGGCACATGGAGCTTACCAGCTCTCCATACGAATTGCCTAGCTCATCACATGGAACCCTCCAGTTCCCCCTACGAGCTCTTCAACTCATCTCATAAAGCTCACAAGCTCTCTTCATGAGCTCACCAACTCTCCGGCTCACATTACTTTCCTTTGGCGTTATTGAGTTAACCGTTGGAGTCCACGCCCCTGGGATATCACCCGGGGCCTCTGACATCTTTTCTGGGTGCAAGTCTCCCTTAGCAGCCAAGGTGACACTCCGAGATGAGGTAACACCCTACTCCAACGAATTTCCATCTTCGGCCCCATGGCCAATTTTAACCTCAACAACAACAATTACACAAGGCAGGAATTCTTCAATGGAGCAACTGTATTCAGCGATCTTGAGAGTGAACTCATTTGCAATATGTCTGGGTCCGGGAAGAGGACCCTATACGATTCAACTCACCTTCAAATGCAAAACCATCACCACCACGTCCAATTTGACAAAATGAACACAAAAGCGTCTCCAATTTCAACCAATTTACAAAACCTCTCTCACCAAGATAACCTTCACCCCCGAATATTTGAATCCAGCACCACTTTCAGATCTGATTCAATCTCACTAGGATAAAGCCAAAACAGGTGCTTTCTCTCTCTCTCTCTCTCTCTCTACCAAACATACCTACATTTGAATCTGACTTCCTGGGCCGTATCTGGTTCGATTTAAGCGAGGCACCAAAACGGATTCCGCTGGGCAATTAGTTGGCTAAACAGTGGCACCGAATGGAGGACAAGAAAGGGGAGAAGTCCAAGGCAAGAGAGGTGATGGATTGTTTCTCATACTCCAGAGCTCTGAAATTGTGATGAGGTAAGCCAGTCTTGATTGGCCAGAATAGCATAGGAGCATATGCTCATACTCCAGTTGTAGGGATATTGACAGCATAGGGTAAACTCGTCCAAGTCGTATTCTACTTCTACCAACATAGGGTCATCGCTCCTGTAGCTATAACCATGAATCTATTTTGGGTGTCGGAGATCCTATATGCCTTTCCAAGTTCATCATGTGCAGAGGGATAACATCAAACAAATACCTTAATGGAGGTCGTCAGTTGGCCCTACAAGTTATCCCCTGTGTACCCTCAGGCTGATGAAGCATTTGCAGAGGCGTGATATTCAAAGGCGGTCTCTGTTCTATCAGGTCGAAGCTCTATCCGTCTCCAAAGATATGGTATCTTCGTGTAATTATCATTGAAGCATAGGACATTGTGCCAGGCGAGAAAGGGTCGGCAATGGCAAGGTATCTAGAGGCCAGAGCTTTCGGCAAAGGCCCAAGTAGGAAACTAGGTGCTGAGGACCAGAATGCTTCTCTCTAGATATTCATGTCATGATTTCAAGTCTCCTCTCCCACTGCCTACGACGACTGTGTTAGCGCTGTGAAATGGGTAGCCTCCCACTCGAAAGAGGACGGGACCGAGGCCTGGTTGAACGATCCGTCAACTTCGACTGAGTGTTTCTAGCCGGCGACAGTGCGGGTGCCAACCTGGTACACTACATTGCCATGTGAAGGAACCGTTGGGTCCGAAGGAGCTCGTCTTTGTATTCACAAATGAACGAAAAGAAATCATGAGCTATTTCACCATTGCTTAGAGAGAGAGACACAGAGGGAGAGGAGGGGAGCGGGGAGATGGGTGGAACTGTGGAACCTGAGGTGACAGGAGAGGAACACTTCCTCAGTTCCTCCCAAAAAATCACTGCAAAAGACGATAAAGCAAAATATATTGCATAAAAATATATTTATTTCACTCAAAAATCATAAATTGCATAAAAATATATAAAATGATAAAAATTCAAAATATATAGTTCGACTTATAAAAGCAAAAATTGTATAATATACTGAAAATAATAAAAATTTGAGAAAAAAAAACTACATATCAGATATGAAAAGAAAAATGTGCAATGAAACAAAGAAAATAGTATCAAAATAACAGAAATTTCAAAGAAGAACAAATGGGAGGTGAAGAACATCCAAGATAGGGTTAAGTTTTCCGAAAATGGAGAAGGTAGAGCGAGAAGGGATTGAAAAGAGATTTGAGCGAAATGAAATGGCGTAGAGGTCCTAGTTCGTGTTTGTGATGATTGCTGGCGGTGAAAGCCACAACATTTTAGAATACCCGAACCAATATTGAAAGCTAAACAGATCCTGTGGAGAAAAAACCAACACATCTATAATAGAATGAAGATAGAAAGTTCTGATTTTGAACCTTAACCTAACAACAGCAAGGCATCGTGAGAAAGACCATTAGCAGCTGACAACTCTCTATCTTCTCCGGTTTGCAAACTCAAAAGCTTTGATTTCGAATGTAATCAAAGCCTAAGTATGTTGGTAGTGAAGTTACACTATTAACATATTCTATCAAAATTAGTATTCATTATCTCCTTAATTCTAGGAGAGATAATCCTATCGAAATTAGTATTCTATCATTATCTCCTTAATTCTAGGAGAGATAGTTCTAATCTAATTAGTTGTACATATCCTTTGTGTATTCTAATTTAGGTCGCCGACCTTGTATCCCTAGCTCTATTATAAATAGGTTGTAACCTATTGAATTCGCTGACCTTGCAGAGATACTATCCCATTCAGGTTCACACTGTGCTAACTGATCCCAAAGAACTTGTAATTTAGAGACATAACTGTTAATGGTTTGTTCAGATTGTTGCTTCATATGGCGAAGACGCCTATAGAGTTGAAACTGATGTACATCATCAGAAATAGAATAACGAGCTTGTAAGAAATTTCATACCTCTTTAGGAGAGTCATATCTGCGAAATTCCAATTTGATGCTTGCAATACAAGTACTGCGAAACCAGGTCAATATTTGATGATTTTTTCCGTCCCATCTTTCTACGCGTTCAGCAAACTTATCTTCTGTTTCATCAGCAACTTTAGTAGGTTTGGGAATCTCACCAGTCACATATCGCCATAGAAGTCGTCATTTGAGAAAACTGCACATCTCTTGGGACCATAAATCAAAATTTGAGCCATCGAAGGTAACAGTGATAGGATGAGAGATATGTTGAGCAACTTCAGATGAATCCATGAGGAGAAACACAGAACTTTGCAGCAACACGAATCAGGGAAAACCTAATACTGACTTGAAAAAAAAATGAAGAAATTGGAACGCAGGTATTGAACTCAAGAGGATCAAACGGGGTTAAGCGGAAAAAAAAAATCACCAAGCTTTTGCAGAGAGGAGCTCTAATACCATGATACGAAATAAACAAAGATAAATGGAGAAAATAATATTTCTTGATGTCGAATTCAATAGGTTACAACCTATTTATAATAGAGCTAGGGATACAAGGTCGGCGACCTAAATTAGAATACACAAAGGATATGTACAACTAATTAGATTAGAACTATCTCTCCTAGAATTAAGGAGATAATGATAGAATACTAATTTCGATAGGATTATCTCTCCTAGAATTAAGGAGATAATGAATACTAATTTCGATAGGACTATCTCTCAAAAAGGATATGTATCATACACCACCATTGATCGTTGCTTTGGCGATATGAGCAAGCCTAAACAGAAGAAATTTTGAATCAAGCCCTAACCAACAAAAAGAGGTGAAGCTTTCGACGGAACTAAATTGAGGGTCAATGGGTAACCCTCAACCCAACTCCACCCTAACCCTAATGGGTCACTTGACCCATATTCACCCACAACTAAACTGGGTGGGTCATATTGGTTGGGGTCAAAACGCCTTATTATTAATGCAGTGTTTACATCAAAACTACCATAGCAGCTCCAGAACTTCAAATATTGAACTGAGGGTAGTTATGACTTATGATAAGAATGTCTCAAGTAGATTGCCCCAGGAGAAGACTGTTGGTATTAAATTTACAGAAGTCAGAAAAGCTAAGATAATTGAAACCTTCGACAACTCCACCCAAAGTGCAACCAAGTGCCAAATAAAGAACCACAATAAATGGGTACATGCAGGTGCAAGCTTCTCGTTGGGGTTGCATAGCCATGGGAGGGGAGGCTCACATTGATGATAATTAGGAGAAGTCCTCGAAGAGTGAGCATGAATGATGAAATATGAATGGCTGGTTGCAGGGCTGAATTGTTGTCTGTGATTCTAGGGCTAATTCATTTGCAATTAATAACGACTGAGCCAAATGGAAACTATGACTCTTAGATTTCAGTCTCCTGAAATCTGCACAAGATGGAACAATTATGAATACTATTTGATAGTTTCAAGGATGAGAAAATTAATGTGTACTTCTTTTTATTTATCCCGAGACAATACATACTCTGCAAAAAGTGATTCAAGTGGATTCCTATTAAACATATAAGAGTAACATGAGAAGCTGCTTCTATTCTATTCGTGCCATAATATGTACAGGTGACAGATTGATACATACAAAGTTTGATGGGAGTATGAAAAATCAATACCGACTCAAATTGAAGGACCAGACCTAAGCACCCTTTCTAGCTTCTCAGCCTTGGCATAATCCTTTTCTTTGAGAGGACCACCAGGAAAAGCTGTGATCTCCACAACCAAGTGTGGAGTGGGGAGCTCATCAAAAAGAGCCCTGACATTGTTACAACAAACACTTTCTCCATGAGCTGTTTCCCTCCTTATTTGACAACCCTAAGAATAATCACAATATTATTAGTTAGTCAAGGCAGACTAGTTTAAGTTAAATTGTGAGATTCTAAGCATGGCGAACTGCTTCAGAAAGTGCAGGTTCACCACTGACCCAAGGATTTGGAAGTGGGATGAAGCAGAAACTTTCATACCAATGTCAATTTTAACTTAAGACTACATGGGAATAGCTTTTTGGCTCTTCCCTCCTACAAAAATATCTTGGAGCCTCCATTGTGTGGACTTGTACTTCAAGGAAAGGAAGAAGCTGTTAAGGGAATGGACATCCCTTCTGTTGGCTGTGTCTTGTGTCATGCCCTAGAATCTTCTGATAGCACATTTCTTAATTGCACCATCAGCTCTAACATTTAGGCATACATCCTTGGTTTATTCCACATCAGCTGGTGCTTCCTATACTCCATTGTTGATAGACAGATTAGCTGGAGTGAAAGTAGTGAGTAAAAGTGGAAAGCCGCATGTAGTGTCTTTCCTCTTGTAATCATATATGGTGTGAGAGGAATGCCTGCACACAAGAGGTGATATGCCAAAGATGGTGGTGATGGTGCATTCTTGGTTACTGGTTAGTCCAGAAAACATTGAGAGGTTTACAACCTCTCCTAATTCTCTTCTAATACACTTGATAGAAAATCTGACAAGCACATTGTTGGATTTTTGTAAGACTATAAAATCACATTTGTATAACTTCTCACTCTATATAGGCTGTACTTCTAGAGAACTAATTATACTGATACTTCCTTAATGCAAGTTTCCTTACTTTATGATAAAAAGAAGAGGAAGAAGAGGAAAGAAAAGAAAAGGTTGAACTATAAGCTTTAATACAAAGAAAAATATCTGTACCTTATGGGAAGTGGCATCCATGAAGTGATCGTCCTCAGAGAGTAGAGATGCGATGGCTTTGAGTAGGCGTCATCCTTCAGATTTGGAAGGGACTCTGTAGCTTCTCTTGAGAGTACCCTTTGTTGTTGGATGCCACTTGCTAACAAGTTTCCTTCTATCTGTTGCTTCCTTTTCCTCTGTTCAAGATATTACTACCATAATCAGATAAATTCAGTTTCACCTTTGGATAAGATGTAAATGAACAAATTTCCTCCTGAATCCCCTCCCCTTATTAGGCTATGTTTGGTATGACAGAAAATTAAATTTTCTTCAAAAATTCTGTTTCTCACTTATAGGCTATGTTGGATGTTATCACATGATACACACAATTAGCTACCTGAGTCCCTAACCCCATTTTCTAGTATTATTCGGTCAAATTCAAGTGCAATAATAAAGAGATGATCCTAAATGAACTTTTAGACTGGTTAATAATAAAAGAAAACAATCTACATTGGCATTCAATAATCTATGGTGTAAAAAAAAAAGACATTTAACAATCTAAACCATCTAAGGCTGCATTTGGCATTCCTTATTTTAAGGACTTGTCTCTTTTTGTTGTTAAAAACTCAGTGTTCATAGGGGCATGTTAAAAAAAGCAACAGAAATGAAATAATAAGGGAACAAAGAAGCCAAAAACCTGATTTCCCTCTTAAGTTCTCAATCCGCTTAGAAAAACCCAAATCGCCATTCCCTGTTTCCACATGCAGAGAACAAACAAAAATAATTTTAGATGCAAACCAAATTAATAACAATATATATAAAACAAAAAAAGGTCAATATCATTAGAAAAAAGAAGGAAAAATAAAGGGAAAAACGGAGAAACCTGAAAACGATAGGCTTGCCTGAGATCCAGCTAATCCAGCCTTCAAGAGAGCATAAAAGATGCAGAGCCTCATAGAAGAGGAGCTTCAAGCAAGGAAGCATGAAATCTTCCATTCCTGGCACTACATGATGCGGCCCCAAGTTTCTTCAGTGTGCTAGTGTGTACTGTTTGGAAACAAGGGAAGAGGGTTTTGGGAAGCAAAGAAGGATTTACATCTCTACCCTTGATCTGGGTTGCTCGGAAGGGTGATGTAAATGAAGTTTGGACCAGAGAGAGAAGCATTGCTTCACCAGTTTCAGACAGAAAAGCAAGCCACGATCTACGAAGTGAGATAAGAAAGGTGATGAACTAATCTGCAATTTACCTTTTTTTAAAGATTGGAGTGGAGAAGAGAAATAAAACTCTCTGACTGTAATTAGCAGTCTCTACTCTGGATTCTCTACATCCTTCCTTCACAGGAAAATTTTAGTTTGTCTGAATTGAAAAAGAAGGGGAAAATTGAAAACCAGAAAACGTTTACTTTCATTTTGGATAAAGGGAAAGGTTAAGGTGTAACTCATACACCATCCAACAAGGCAACAAACCTTTAGCTGGACATACGGATAAGTCTCAGCAACTCCAGATTTCGGACATCTCTTCGGGATCCATTGTCCAGTTTTATTGGTCCCCAAGTGTGGGACCCATTGTTGATGAGAAGTGGGTTCCACCGTAATACATGGCGCCGCACTGCAGTTGTGCCATTCGGTTTTTCAAATTTAGTTTTGGATAAATTACGAAGTCCCCGGTCAGGGAGGGACTCAAGGATAAATACCCCCGCAACTTTCGTTTGCGACAAAATTTCTCCCTTCAAATTTTACTTGGCGATAAATACCCCTTCTTTTAGATTTTAGTGAGTTAACTTTAAAAAAGATTCTTATCCAGCTGTGTAAATTTTTTTTAAATCCCAATTTATCCATTTCTTATTTATTTGAACTATTTATGATTGATTAGTTGTCCCCTTTTAGTGAGTGTCAATGGACCCGTCCAGTTCAAAATCAATATGAACGGATTGGACGTACCAACAAAACATATTGGATTGATTCAATCCGGTCCAAAATATTTATTAAATTGGATTGGACCTTGTCCGTCCATAATAAATTTATATTGGATTGGGTTGCATTAAGTCAATATCTGGTCCATTGATATAAGATAAGAATATATGTGTCAATGGATCGGGTTTGCGTTGAAACCAATCTAATTAAAATAAATTTGAACAGAATGGACGGTCCAAACATTGAATTGGCCACTCCAAATTAATCCAAAACATTCATTGGATTGGATTGGACTTGGTCCATTTATAATCGACTCACATTGGACTAGATCGGATTGGACCAAATTCAGTCCAATTGACACCCCTACCTTAAGATATCTAACTGGATTAAATATTCTAATGAAATGATAGAGGTTTCTTTTTGTAGATATAAATTTATGATTTCTTTGATTTTTCTTGATTTATTGGAGAAAAGAGTGGATAATTTTTATATTTTAAGATGAAGAGAGACATTCATGTTAATGTAATGGATCAAGAATGTATATAAAAAAATTTGATGCCAGTGAAATGATTATTTTAGCTGGTTTCCTTTGGAGAAAATGGAGGCATTTTTGGTCAATTAGGATTGGAGTTTAAGAGAAAGGGTGAGAAAAAAGTAAGGAAAATTTAGATGGGTATTTTAGTAATTTAATGTATTCTATCATTTGACTTAATGGCCAAGGGGTATTTGTCGTAAAGTAAAAGTTTAAGGCTAGGGGTCTTTGTCACAAATGAAAGTTTAAGGGGTATTTGTCATTGATCCCATAGTAGAAAGGGATCTTTTGTAATTTACCCTTTAATTCAGACCTGAAATGCTAAATTTGATAAATAATATAGAATATAATATTAATTAAAAATTTATAGTTTATTAACATAATAATAATATAGTATTTTACTATTCTAAAAAAATATAATATTTTACCATTGATGGTGCGCAATTTGGTCACTCCGAGTTGTACTCGCGTGGCTCCTGAAAGTTACCTGAGATGGAGAAGATGAAGAATCCCCGGGGGCTTACCCGACGGGAACACTCCGATGCTTAAGTTAGAGTTATGTGAGAGATGTAAAGAGAGGAAGAAAGCTAAGAGTGCAGATAGCGCAAGTATCAGGAAGTTACCTCTATTCTTTTTGGGTCGGGTTTATAACAAAACTCTGTTGAATCAGGCCCATTAGCCCCTGACAGGGCAGATATAACCGACATTGCTGCTCTGTCGCAGCCGTTACTGCCAGGGCTGAGGTGGCACGCGCGGGGCTGTTGTTGCAGGGTACGTACCTGTCAGATGTAAGACACCCTCCAAAAGGTGGCGGGGACGACACTATCTGACGAGGGACGTGGTTGCTATCTCCAGGTTTGTCATGTACGGCGGTCGGGCAGGAGGCCTTCCTGCAATATGCCGAACTGTCCTACTGTGAGCTACCTCGTGTCGAACTACCCTCCGAGCTCGGAGGTAGCTCGGAGCGTCTCAACCTTGGTGAGGGACAGATGCTAGGCGGCATCTCGGCAAGTAGCTTATCCCACCGAGATGCTAGGCCCAACTCAGCGGGCCGTTCCCACCGAGTTGCGGTTGTGGTTGCTGTGCTGTCACGCTGAGTCATCGCTTGAGCAAGGTCATGCCCACGTGTACCCATGCTATGAGGTCGGGCCAAATCACCCTCCATCAATTGCCCCCCACTCCCTGTGCTGGCGGCGTTGACCCAGCGCGGGGAGGTCTTGACGCGCCGGGTGGATTTGGCTTCGGTACTCATGCCACTCTGCCGCGCGCTTCGTCCAGCTAGACCAGTCTAGTGCCCGACTCGATCAAGAGAGACCCGGGGTGCATTCAGTTTACGCACGGACCTCACACGATTTGGACTTCGCGGACGTCAAAAACGCGCTAAATTGATTTCGCCTCGAGGAGCCCGCAGCCGGTTTCTCAGGGAGCCATTGGATCATCTCAATCCTGACCGTTAACGCTTCGGGCGCGGTGACTATAAATAGTGGGGGACCCTTGGTCATTTCTTCGCCATAAAGTCTTCAACGTCAGTGTTTGAGCTCGCGCCTGGGGTTCCCAGTTCGGTAGCGTTTCTTTGGTGAGTCTCCTGAGCTTCCTTTTCTTTCCAGTTCGTTTCTTTCCCTTCCGTATATGTCGTCTAGCATAGATAGCCTAGCTGACGAGCCCGGGGTGGGTACCTCGGCTCAGGGTGGCTCTTCTGCCACCCAACCGCCTGATGTACGGGTGGCTTCGGGTCATTTGGCATCCACCTCCCACCGAGGTCGGGTGCCAAACCAGTTCGGCCCTTCCACCATGACTTCGGAGAGACTCCAGGACCTCATACAGAGGTTCCACCTTCCCGGGGAGTATTCTTACAGTCTTCCTACTGGCAGCTTTCCATGGGAGCACGGTCCCGAAGAGATCGTGGTCTTCAGGGAGCAGCTGGTGGCTGGACTTCGCCTTCCTCTTCATCCCCTGATTGTTGGGGTGCTGGTGCACTTCAACATTACCTTGGACTAGCTTCACCCGAATTCCATACGGAACGTGGTGGGGACCATTTCCTTGTGCTTCGATCGCTCCTTCTCTATTGACCTAGACATCCTTAGTACCATCTTAGCAATAAAGAAGAGCGCTTCAGGCACTCTCCCCGGGCATAGGCGGGCTTACTATCTGTCTCCCCGACTTGGTTTTAAGTTGATGCATAGCTCTCAAGTAAAGTTCCGACCTGGAAGCGGGACTACTTCGTAGTTCAGAGTAGCACGGGGTGGCCTTTCCCTACTGACTGGAGGGTGGCCATTCAAGACTCCGGTGTTATCCTCGACGGGAAGATTAAGAAGTTGCTCCAGTCATAGGCTCAGCTGGGGCTGAATTACAAGGACTTCACAGCTGAGGAGAAACTCATCCAAGCCGGCTTGAGCCCGGGTAGGTTTGTCTTCACTTCGGCTTTTTGTTTGCATACTCACTTCGGGTTTGCTAATGCCGAGCTTTACTGCAGGTCCCATGGAGGCGGAGAAGATAGACAACCAGAGGCTCTTCCGTCAGATGAAGAGGAAGAAGCGCATAGCCAAGAAGGCACGCGTCGAGTCTCCACAGGCCTCTGGCGAGACTCAACCTCCACAGGTCCCAGCTCCGGAGCCCGAGCTCCCAGCCACTCCACCCGTCATTGACTTGGAGGGAGACACGATGCCTCAGGGGCCCGAGATGGCTGCAGAGCCCTCTGCTAAGCCCACCGAACCTGCTGCCGGGGGTGCCACAGAGGCTGTTGCTGAGGCTCGCCCTACAAAGGCTACCATCGGGGCCCGTCCTGCTGATGCTGCCGTCGAGGCTTCCGAGGAGTCTACCCATGCGGCAGAGACGACGTCCAGCTTGGAGAGTCAGGAGAACCGAACCATCCTGAACCCCCAGTGCATCCTGGAGAAGAGCAAACTGGCTGCATACCCGAAGGAGGTTACGGAATGGGCTGATCTCTCTCCTGGTCAACTCGGTGCCTGAGCTGCCACTCATACTATGGTGGTGAGTTCTTTGTGAGAGATCCGCCTTCCTTTTCTCTTTCTTTTTTTTGGCTGATTTCCTTTTCGTAGGTGAACTCTGTCGTACGCCCCTTGACCCTTCAATCTGATCGGCATCTGAGACGGGCTCTGGAAGCTGAAAAGTCATCCCGCGCAGCCCATATCGAACTGAGGGCAGCTCGCGGTTAGATCCATCGCTTGGAGAGTGATGCCTCGGCTCAGAAGAGCTTCATCGAGGTGCTGTTGGTAGAGAAGAGCGAGCTGGCCCGAGACAAGGACGGATTGAGGGCTGAGGTGAACGGGTACAAGGTCGGCCAAGAGGCCTTGAGGCTCGAGGTGGACAGTCTCAAGGCGGAGCGGGACGCCTTGAAGCTTGAGGTGCAGGGCCTTAAGGGAGCAAAAGGGAAGTTGGAGCACGAGGTGGAGTACCTCCAAGATGACATCAAAGAGAAAACCGTGATCTTCGAGGATGCCCTCAAGGAGACCAAGGTTCAAGCTGTCATCGACTATGTCAAATCTTCAAGGTTTGACGATGTGATGACCGAGGCCTACCGCAAAGGCTTCAAGCTCAGTCGGTGGTTAATCAGGCACCTCTACCCCGATCTCGATACGAGCGCCATCACCACTTCGCGGATCACTGATGACGTGCGTCAGTCAGCAGATGATCCGGACTCCGAAGTCAAAGGTGCCGATGATGATGCAGAGGCCACCGATCCGGTTAGTGCCCTTGAGGAGGTCCCTAGTCAGGGCGATGAGCCTCCGAAGTAGTTCAGTTCCTGCACCCGCGAGCTTGATCTCTTTTTTTTGTTTTTTTTTTTTGTTTTTGTAACAAACTTTTTTGTAATGAGCCATTTGTAATGAAACTTGTGTAACAAAGATTTCGGTAACGAAAATATGTATTTCGCTAAGTGTCTGTGCCATTCTCTTTT